CCTAAATACGCTGTGTCAACAAGCGATGTATTTGATGATCCTGTTGTCACTCAATATATTTACATTAGCGGGAATGGTACAAATTTGAAAAAAATCGCCGATTGTCGTAATATTATTTAAAACAGCTCAGCATGTCAAGACGAGTTTATTATATATATATATATATATATATATTATATATATATATATATAAATATATATTGGAAGGAGACATATTTTATACTGTATTAGATAAATTCTACCGAATTGTTGGCATAAATCAATTTTAAGTTAAGTTTATCTTTTCAATTTTCCTTAAAAGAATTTTCTGAAAATTGTTCAATTTATCGAAAATAGAATTATTATTCAAGTTCATCATGAATAATTTAATAAAACTGTTGTTATCCAAATTTATCATGCAGATTGGCCATATTTCAATTTTTCACAAATCATCTTTAATGCAATTTTGGTTTATACAGTTTATTTAAAAAACGCTAAGTTAGTTCTTTAGCAAAGTGAATTACTTAGTTGGTGTCGTATTCTTCATCTTTCTTATTGTCATTTCTTTGTTCTTCATTGTCATTAAAGATAGTATTTAGGCGTCGAGTGGTAATGATGTAATCATTCTTTTTGGATGTTTATTTTGGGTTTATTGATATCTATTAGGGCAGCTGTATTGTGTTGATGTTTTGATAAATAATTTTATGTTGCCAAGAATTTTGCGGGTTATTTTAGTTACATGCGTTGATTGCAAGTGAGAGAGTATGGTTCCTCTTTGTGTTTGCATTGTGAGACTTCTTGATAGGGAAGTGGTTATAACACCAAATACGAATGTTGTTGACTTGCACAGTCGTCAATATGACATCTAAATTCATACATTACATGATTACGCTTCAAAGTAGAATCGTCTTTAGGTGTGTAGCTGTTATTTAAGACCAATTGTGGTGCCTTTCATTTATTGTAGTATAACCTGAGTTTTATTTTATTAGTACCATTAATTGTGTAACGTTTTATTTTATGATTTGTTTGAGGACGACTTCGTCTCTTTCATGTGCCGTTGACATATGATTTCTGTAATATAAGATTATATCGTTGTCAATGTTGTTTTTGAATATATTGCTTTCTTGTTGTAGTCTTTGGTGAATGGTGCTCTCAATGGATGATGTTTTGTAGCAATTGCTTACTAGTAGATTAGCAATTCTTTTCAGTTCCGTATTGCGATCTTCAGTTAAGGATGAATGCGTGAATGCATGGTTTACAAAAAATTTTATACTTATTTTGAATTGTTCCGGGCATTCGCTTAGTTTATTTAGACAAATACCTTTATTTGTTGCTTTGACGTATAAGGCAGTCGTATTTTCGTCATGCGTTACAAAAACATCCAGAAATGGCAATACATTTTCACTTTCATGCTCGTTAGTGAAATTCAATTTTGATCGGTTCAGAGTTGCCAGTATCTGGTTGACTCGTTCCGGATCATCGTATGCGACGAAAATATCGTCAACATATCTGGTATAAAAATTGTTTTTAATTACGGATTGTCTCTAAACGTTTTGCTGTCAAGATATACTAAGAAATTTGCGATGAGAACACCGAGTGGTCAGCCCATGACTACACCGTCAATTTGTTTGTATAGCTTGTTTGTGGGGTGTTGAAAGGTCCTTTGGTGGTGAAGATTTGAGATGTGTTTTTGGCATTTTTAAAAGAACCGTGTCTGAACGATAAACACTATTGATAATAATACCAATTGTGTCACGGATGGGAACATTTGTAAACAAAGATTCGACATCCAGAAAAGCAAAATGATTTGATGGTTTGTTATTGTTCAGTAGATTGATAAACTCCCATGGAGACTGGAGGTTATAGTTTTGAGGAATGTATGGAGTCAGAATTTTGTTTAGATATTTGGCAATAGGTTATGTTACTGTTAGAATTTGACTAATGATAGGTCGAAGGAGTTGTTGTTTTTATGTGTTTTGATCATAGTGGTATCCAGGTGAGTATTTACCTTGGAGTAGCAGGATTATTTCTTAAGATACGTTTTAGTTGATTTTTCTTATTATTGCGTTGAGTTTAGTGAGGAGTGGGGTCTTTTTCGTTTGATTAAAATTTTGTGCTGTCGTTGATTAAGTACTCAATTTTGGCGTTGTAATCAGTTTTATCTAAGACCGCAAATTGATAAAAAATTTGCTCTGAAAATGGCCTTTTTGTTTCTTGGCTCCAGCTTTTAGTTCAACCGCAATGGATGGATTCACTGTAATCTTGCTTTGTCGTTTTGCTTCGTTTATTTGCACCATTAGTTTTTCAATTTTAATTGTTTTTTAAATATTGTTTATAATATAATATAATGTTTTGTTTTTTTTAAATATGATAGTTTAATCCTAAATTTAAAAATCTTCTTTGTTTATCAGTGAGGGGATGTTGACTGATATTAATAAATCGATCCATTAATCCATTTCAATACAACATATTTATTATATATTCTTGATAAACTTGATAATTATTTTATTTTCAATAAATTGAACAATTTTCAAATAATTTTAGTAAGGGAAACTTTAAACTGATTAATGCCAACAATTCGGTAGAATCCATACAATACTTTATTGCAACATCACATAGAAATCATACCGTTGTTGAATTTGGATGTTGGCTTTGTTTATTTGTTTTGTATTACCTTAACTATTTTTTGTTCTTGTCCTTATTTTGTATCTGTTACTCTCGGGGTTTTTCCAAAATTATTAAATTAATAATAATATTTTAATTAGGTTAATTCAAGACAATTTGTTAAAATTGGAAATCTGAATTTATTTTTTTTTTTGAATAATTTTCTACTCTTAAAAAATGTTTTTAAACATATGGTCTGTTGTTAGTAAACGATTGATTTTTAGAGAATACATTTGTTAATTCACATCTGCTAACATAAATCAGATTGTCAATTATTTTTTCATTAAAAAAACTATTTGGGCATGAAATTCTGAAAAATTAAGGTTGAAGAAATTTAAAAATGGTAAATAGTTTTTATTGCATAAAATTAGCATCGATTCATCTTTTGAAAATTTCGCCAAAGAATTTTGTAAACGTCTGAGGTAATATTTGTTTCGTTGATTATTTACAAGCAAGCAATTAAATGAAAATTGTGTTCATTCAGTTGTAAGAGGTTTGGAGAGCAAAATAAATAGCCTAGTCTTCAAAACAACATACTTTTAACTTTTCCAAAATTTTTAAAAAAAGAATAATGATCAAAGACATTTAGGAGACTAGAGACAAACGTTTAAATGAGCTATCAAAAAGTTTATACGTTGTCTTCCGAAGTGTGCTCAAATCATCAACAACATCATCATTATCAACATCATCGTTATCAACAACAACATAATCAACTATTTCCTACAATTAAAGGGAGTTATTTAATAGCAGAAGATAATTTTTTGTATCAATGCAAATTATTCAAACGATGTATGGTTTCAAAAATTAAATTCTAAAAGTTCACCTTTGGCTGAATTTATTCATTCCAAATTTGAAAATAATAGATGAAAGAAATGATTTTCAAATTAAATGATGCAAATAATTGAATTTTATTTTGCATAAACATTTTTTATATTAAGCAGAACAAAATACCAACAAAATAATAACTAAATACCAACAAATAACATCAAAATAACAGGAACAAACAAAAAAACAACACAGTAAAAACCAAATAGGAACGGTAGTAAGACTAACAAATAAATAAAATTGAAATTCAACCAACCGCAATCAAATCAACATCCAAGTTATTAATAAATAACCTCAACACAATATGAAATTCAAAGACGATGAACTTGAAAGCGAATATTAGCATAGCCTCATAAACTTACGACACACAGCAAAGTAATTGGACATTTATTTACTAAAGTCAGACAGCTATTAATCGTTCGTCCGCCAAGGCTCGTCTTGCTGGAGAAGGCAATTTTAGGCTGTGTGCAAGCCTCCAAACATTTCATACGTTTCTTCAATTGAATGTTCATCGAAAGTCCATCAATAGATTAATTAATAATTTTATTTTATCTCATTATATATGCTTGCCTGAACGTTTATATATACAATATTCTATAAATTCTACCGAATGTTTGGCGTTAATATGTTTGA